CTGATCTAACTCGTGCTCCCTTTTGCCTTATTTCTAATGCTTATTTATCTTTTACTTTAATAGCGTTTCTTAAAATATCAAATGCCAAAGGTACTGCATGCCATCCTGACGTTCACCCATGACGCTTACTGGATAATACTGACTAAAAAATGCGTAGTGTGGATGTCTTGAGGGGCGGGGGATTCTTTGAAAATTTTAGGTTTGACCGTAGAGTTAAATTATAGCAAAAAAAAAAAAAAAAAGGGGTGTGCACCAGATTTTAAAAAATCAATGTAGATACCTCTTTTTATTTATTTATTCATTTCAACTTAATCTGTGCTTACCATTACATTACACTAATCTCGTCATTTATATGGATCCCTCATATTGTTACCAATTTTATGACATTTACATTGCTGCTTGAATCATTCACATATTTCCATATTCCGTGTACTTATCACTGAAATTTCCCCGATCCCTTGGATTCGTCATTTGCCAGGCAAATGATTATCCGGTCCAAATTCTGTTTTCCCGAATTGACTTACACTTTTTAAAGTCATCGAAAAATATAAGGGCGTGATAAATAAATGATAAAAGTCACCTAAATGCACATAAACGCCTTTCGGTCCCTTTATTTTAAGATAGAAAACATGTTTGCGTTTTCCATCGTAATACTAGTTTACGTTAAACATGTGAGATTTCTGGGATTCACTTTAATTCCATTCTCCCTTCGTTTGGTTGTCGCAACTCTGTATGATTTGACTTTTATTTCTATAGCTATAGGTTTAAGAAGTGAGTTTGTGAGAGAAGTGCACTCGGTCTGCCCTAGGTTCTTATCGGTGACTTATCACTATTCGGCCACATCAGCATTTAGTTAGATACAGGTCGTGCAAAAACGTGACCCAGGAGTCGCTTATATTTCATTTGTGTGTTCTTACCTAGTTGTTTCAGTACGGGAGAAGAGCTAAGCTCAGATGGTCCCGTCTGCTATATTTAGATTATCATATAACTTTTTAAATTGATCCACATTTTTTGCACACACAGCGTTAATTGGAATAGTGTTCCATGTTTTAACAGTTCTGTTTGGGAAACTGAACTTCTTGACATGTTTCTCTCCTCTTTATACTTTCAGCTTTTTGCTGTGTCCTCTCGTCCTTCTTATGTTCAAAATTATAGTCATCTTTATCTAATTTCACCCTTCCTGTAATACAACTGAACATCATTATTATGTCACCTCTTTTTCTTTCTTCGAAAGTAGTAAGACCTATTTTCTGTAGTCTTTCTTCGTAGCTCATATTTCTTAGAGTAGGTGTCCATCTTGTGGCTGCTCTTCGAACTCTTCTAGTTTATCTATAACCTTTTTTAAGTGTGGACTCCATGCCTCTGCACCATACTCGATACTAGGTCTTACGACGGCTGTAATGACCTTCTTTACCATGTCTTCGTCCACATACACAAATACCCTCTTCAAGTTGGCAATCAGCTCTAGCATTCTATGAACCTTGTCAGATCACTTGGGCTTAGGATCATGTTTATGATTATTCCATTTTTTTCTTTATTTGCATGGTTTAATATTACGTCTCCGAACTTGTACTGGTTTAGTGGACGATTTTTACTTTCTCCGAACCTGATTACATGGCATTTATAGGTGTTAAATTTCATTTTCCATTTACAACTCCAACTGAGTAAGTTCTTTCGATGTCACTTGGGAGGCATTTTCATGAGACGTCGTTTGATATATATTTTTTGCAATTTCGCGTCGTCTGCAAACATATTCAGATAACTACCTGGCCTTATAGTTTTTGAAAATAGTAAACATAATCAACGTTAAGATCGATCCTTGAGGTACTCCACAAGTTACTCGTCGCCATGTAGAGTGCTTCCCTCTACTTACGATTATCATCTGCCTTTTATGAAGAAAGCCTTCCATCCATTCAATGATTTTTCCTTTCACTCTACCTAGGTGTTCTAATTTCCATAATAGTCTTTTATGAGACACCTTATCAAATGCCTTCTTAAAGTCTAAGTATACACAATCCATCCAGCCGTCTCTTTCTTGTAATATTTCGTAAACTCTATTATTTACGTTTGTACGGTTACTTGCTATTTCAAAGTATGGGTACTGAAATTTATCATTAAGGATTATACACATTTCCTCTTCCTTAGTATGAACGATGTTATCATCATTAATGGCGCTAATTTGATCTCTACTTTTAGTCTTCTATTTATATAGTTAAAGACGAACTTAGGTTGGTTTGTACATTTATTGATTATTTAATTTTCAAAGTCTAATTTCGCCTCCTTCATGGTTTGGGTATACTCATTTCTTCCTAGTTTATGCCTTTCATACGCTGCCTGAGATCTATTTTCTGAACCTTCTCCAAAGGAGCTGTTTGTTCTCACTCATTTTTTATTTATTTATTTTTTAATTTTTAGCTATTTCTTGCTTGTTTTGAAACTTGGTATATTTTTTCTAATCCTTGTTTATAGACATCGCAGTCAAGAGAGTTTCCCAGTTTATGCCATCAAAGAAATCTATAATTACCTCTCTTGTAATTACACTTTCCTTTTCTTTCCCTACTTACGATGAGTTTTTCCTGTAGCAGACAGTATTTCAACTTAATTACTACATGATCACTTTTTCCTGGAGAAGGTAGTGGCGGATTTTTTTTTTTTTTTTTTTTTTTTGGGGGGGGGGGGGCTGTTGCCACTCCCTCGCTGCTCTGTAACTAGTCTGGCGCCCCCTGTTGGAAGTGCGGCGCCCCTTTTCTATGAAATGACATTTGATATACTGACGGAGGAACCTCATGAGCTTCATCGTTCTCGGACCATCCAAAAACGAAACATATAATCTGCAATTATCATTCTCACTGTCAAATCATTATAAAACGTAGAATGATAATCTTTCTCTGTCGATGTAGTGGCAGGGTATAAAAAGTAGCATGGCTAAAACTTTCCATAAACAATTTTCAAACCACTCAAATTGATTTCATACAGCAACATAGTGATGGTACAATATCAATCAATTACCGAAGGTTTATAAGCGCCCCCCTTTATGAACCGCCCCCCTCCCCCCCTTCAGAATAGTTCTGGATCCCCCCTGCCCCCGAGAGGAGGGCAGTACTCCATATCCTTAATGTTATCTTTAAGCTTTATAAATATTAGGTCAAGCATAGACGGTCTTTCTAGCCCACTTATCCTGGTATGATCTGTTACATTCTGGAAAACACCAAATTCATTCATGACTTCTAGATTTCTAGACTTCTTTTGCATTCCACGAATCTGGCTGGGCTTTGGAACTAAAACTTCCCCAGTCAGTTTTGCTATTGAAATCCCTTGTTACAAGAATTTCTTTTGCATTAGTTTCCGAAAGTTGTAGCACTTCTTCCAGGCTCTTTAACGTTTTCTAAAATAAGTTTTTGGTAATTTTCTTGTGACCACACCGTAGTATGAGGTGGCATGTACACTGTAGTTATTAATACATTTACTCCGTTTGTTTCTACCTCAATTGCCTTTAGCTCTACAATGGGATCTTGCTGAATCTCTACATCCTTTATAATAATTCCTTTCCTTGTTAATAATGCTACCCCCTCCATTTCCATTTGCCCTATCTTTTCTCCAAATAGTGTAGTCTCTGAGTCCTAATGTTACATCGTCCACGGAGGGATGCAATTTGGATTCAGTGATACATATTACATCTGGTTTACTTTCAATAATTGCATCTGGTTCTAATAACTTCGAACACAAACCATCTACATTTGTAAAAACTATTTCTATATAATCTTTCGGTATTCCTTTTGGTTGCAAGGCTAATGATTATCTGTCTCCACATTTTGGTTCTGATAACAAACTTGTTTTGCTTGAAGGCCTCTCACCCTCCAAATGAAAAAGTTTTTTCTTTCTTCAGTCCTTTGTTCGTTTTTTGTTCTTGTTTTTTACCTCTTCCATTTTTACTGCAGTATTTCTCTGCCATCTTTGGTCATATTTTCTCTTATCCAGATTTTCTTATATTCCTCGTGTGTGGCCAGGACTTTAACTTTCTTTATTACATCAATTACCATTTGCTTATTTATGGATGTCCCCTTTAAAGGGAATTTCTTTCTTTCTTTTCGAAGAATTCCATGTGGACTATGATATTCTGCTCCGAGAATTCGGGATTTATGACCTTGAGAATATTGACAATCAATTTCTTGTCTCCGTTGTATCGCTCGACTGTATGTGTGTGTGTGTGTGTGTGTGTGTGTGTGTGTGTGAGAGAGAGAGAGAGAGAGAGAGAGAGAGAGAGAGAGAGAGAGAGAGAGAGAGAGAGAGAGAGAGAGAGAGAGAGAGAGAGAGAGAGAGAGAGAGAGAGAGAGAGAGAGAGAGAGAGAGAGACAGAGAGAGAGAGAGAGAGACAGAGAGGGGGGGGAGTGAGAGAGAGTGCGTGCCTGCGTGTGCATGGTGCATGCGTATGTCCATGCGTGTGTGAGTGCGTTCGAAAAAAAAGAAGAAAATTGAACCATTCTAGAAGTATTTTTAAATCATTATGAATAGTGGGGGTGTGGCCATTGGGGAGACAGTCAGACCGAGGGGGACGGTCAGAGTCTTAGGGACTACCCCCCCCCCCCCCAGCCAATGACGCCCCTGTTCAACACAGCATTATTTGGATATCGAAAGGGGTCATAGCATCTTCAGGAACTTAGGTGGACTAAAACTAATAATGTTTTTTTTAAACAGCCTTTTCCACATACATGTCTCAATTTAAAGTAGAAATGCATGAAAAATAATTAATACAACAATTTTGGACCGGCATACGGGTTCAGAACAAGTAGAAAACCATTTGTTAAAAAATTATTGACTCCCAGTGATAACTTATATCTCCCGCATATCAGGTTTAAAATGCGCTCAGAATATCTATTTTTCAATCATTCGTGAGAGCATATCAAAATACTAAATAATAACAACAGGATGAAAATAACATATCGTGAAAAGAAACAGATAATAATATAACTAATAATACATTATTCAACAGAAAAGTCGTA